ATTAAACAACTAGATTTATATGTTTAAGAAAAGAAGTCGTACTAAGTTCTGAAGGTATTTGTCATGGGCAGTGAAGCCTAAGGCCATCCCTTGTGGTGAACACATCTGTTTTTGGTTTGACGCTGATTTGAATTTGGCTCCAAAACTTTTCTGTATCACTGAGGTTTTTTCTTTTTTTGTTTGTTGTTAATAGTTTTGGGTTTAGTTCTATTGTTTATTTCATGGTTTTGGAACTGGAGGTCAATAAAAACAGTTGTTGGAGTTTATTGACACATGACTTCCTGACCTGGTAAGGGGAATAGTTGGTGTAGCACATCAGCCATGTGCACACGTATGTGCATGTACAAGAGAACATACAAAAGGAGTGTCACAGCTGACATGTCGACTTGTCACAGTTGGAAAAGAACAAGTGGAATTAACACTTACTCAGTTCCTTTAAGTGTCCCAGTAAGCCATGACAGTAAACCAGAATGCACAGAAGCATTAACTTTCATTAGTGTAACGCTGTCATCATTAATTGCTTTGTGTATTGTGTCAAAATGTCTGACATGAAAAATAGCTTCATCGTACAGCTACAGCATACAATTCTACAGGATAACCATTAAATGTTTTTTTTAGTCTTTTTTTTTTTTTTTTTTTTAAATTAATAGGTTTAAATCACAAAAACATTTTCTGATTCCCTGCCATTGGAACGCCTAAATATTGGAGGAAGAAAAAAAAACAAGAAAACATTGTTGGATTAGTTGAATAAAACATGAAAAAATTGGATGACCTCAGTATTTCTAATATCCAGGTTAAGGCCTGCATACACAGTTTGTCAGTGGATACGTCTTTTTTGTTTTTCTAGTTGTTGCCAGAACTTACTGGGAACTACACAAAGGAGGGCTACACAGAGAAGACAGGTCCAAAGATGATTATTTTTGTAGTTGTTGCTGCATTTGTACTGTTCAAATAGCAACACAAAATAGTAAGTAAAACTCATATCAGTGCCATAAAGGTGAATTGAACCTCTTCTGTTTCTGTCCTACAGCACACAGAAGGCTTCAAGAAGAGATGGTTTACGATGGATGACAGGAGGCTCAAGGATTGATTGGTACTGAAGGTGCACAACTAAAGGAAAATTCTGTAATTGCACACTCTGATCAGCAGATGCTGCTGTTCCATTTCTCTACAATGTGTTGACAGTGCTCCAAAGACTCAACAGAAATTAGTTTCATGTTAGACCTAACTATCATGTCCCCACAAATCATGTGTGAAATTAGCAGAATTTATAGGTGTTGCTTTTAGATCACCTTAATCCAGTGCAAGTTTGGTTTGTGGCACTAAAACAGCCATGGTCTCCTCAGAAAATGACACAGTTACAGTCATTTTATTGACAAGTGTCTGTGTTTGTGCACCTTATTGAAAGCACAATTTTTTTGTCACTCAACAACATTGAATTTTCAGAGGCATTCAGAAAAAACCTATGTGTTTCCATCTCTGCTTGTAAGAAGCTCATGTGCGAGGTGAGTTCATTGGCAGTAAGGAAATGGTATGCACAGGGCTACTGTTGGCAGTTTGGGGTTACTATGGTAATTCCAGACAGAAAGTTCCATTTTGCAAGATTGAAAAGGTTTGGAAAGATTTGATCACTGTGTTTCAGACTGTTATCAACAAACCAATGCTGCCTCTGGAGTACGCAGATACATTTGAGAAGAAACTCAAGTCCCTGTCCTTTCACTCAATGTGTCTGATGTTCTCCTTCCTTTCTGCAGTGGAGGCATATATTGAGCACAAACCATGATTGTCTTTGTGCTTGAAGAACTGTTCGTGCAGCATCAGGAAGAGAAAGCTGGAAGAGGAAAACGACCTTGACATCTCATAATAGAAGCCCTTATTAAAACCGAAAGCTGACGTAGAAAAGGACCTAAAAGTGAGACAGCCTTGACCAGTTACTATTCCAACAACTATGCTTTTATTCTCTACCTGCCACCCTCCTCAACCTCACTTATGTATCAGACTCTCTTTTTGCTTGAGTCCCTCCTGAGCTCATGAATGTTGGCCTAACCTACTGATCTGCTGAGCAATGTGACTTACATACTTGAAGTAGGACCGTCACCCTGACCTGAATGACCAAACACTTCTGAGCAGTTATATGCGGACTAAAACAAAATGATCTGACACAAGACTGTAATACATGAGAAGGGAGTTCAACAGAGTCAAATACATATATGAGTATAGTGACACTGAATTATCATTGTATTTATTTCTTAATTTTTAACTTTTGCTACAAGGTGGTTAGCATTGTCGGCTCGCAGCGAGAAGATCCCAGTTCGCGTCCAGGAGTTTGCACGTTCTCCCCATGCAGCATTGGTTCTCTTCAGGTTCTCCGGCTTCCTCCCACAGTCCAAAAACATGTTGAGGTTAACTGGTGATTCTAGGTGGTGTCAATGTGAGTGTGCTTGGTTGTTGGTTGTCTCTGTGTGGCCCTGCGATAGACTGGCGACCTGTCCAGGGTGTCCCCTGCTGTCACCCTGAGTCAGCTGGGATAGACTCCAGCCCCCCTGCAACCCGCGTTGTATAGCTAATGGATGGAATTTTGATATATTTATTTGTCTTATTTGCTATATGTAGCTTTTAATGTTAGAATGTCAAACTCATAGCCTCCCCAAACCAGCAGTGAAGAGGGGATGCTTATAAGCAGCACAATGACAGATGATAGGAGCAGTGACTCATTTTGTTCAAACCTGAAGAGCTGTAGTCAAGTAAACCTTGTGAGCATGCACCTGTCCCTCCAAAGTGTCACTGAGCAAAACACCGACTCTCCACTGCACACAACCATCTGTAGTGGCAGCTTCTGAACTGAGTAAGAAGAGGATTTGTGCGTCTGAATATGAAATAATGTTGCTGTTGAAAGGGTAAATGCCATATTGTTCTTTGTATTTAAAAAAAAAAATGTTATAGTTAACTTTCCGTTACAAGAAAGAAATGTACATTGAAAGGTTATAAGACAAAAGAAATCTTAATATTAAGATTGAACAACAACAACAACAACACCCCCCCCTCAAAACAAACTTGTCAGAATGCTGTAAATACTGTACAGAGAGATATTTCATTTATATAATTTCTTTGACTAAGAGTGAGTCTACCAAAGCAACAGTCATATAAAAAGAAGCCAACACTTCTTTCATGAAGAGGAAGTTAAATACTGTTAAGAAATTATAAGAAACATACTCGTCAAAAAGTTTTAAGTAAACTTGGCACTACATACATACCCCATTTATATAATAATGAATGGAAAATTAAAGCATAAAGCAGCAGTTTAAAGCAGCAGACTACAGTTTACATAGATTACAAATAAAGTAGTAAAACAAAAAGAGGAAGATGTACACATGTGTTTCATATACAATACTTTAGGTAACCGTAGCTCTGTATTTCTCAGCCTTTACCCATGCTCTTATTTACCATCTAAAGTGCTATTTTCCATTATTCAAACTTTTATTTTATTTTATTTTTTACATGCAAGAAGATGAGAAATAGACAGAAATATTTACTGTATATTTTGGAAAACCTAGTTGCTTACAGTATATTTGATCATTTGTTAAATAATGTCAGCAAACAAAAGTAAAAGAGAGGTCGCATTTGGGATCTCTAAGACTCAGCATGGATTCTGTATTATTAAAAAAAATCACAATAATACATCTAAAAAGTATGTTTATGTTTTGTGCATGACCCTTGTCTCTGTCGAATTGTTTCAACTACTGTATACTAGCAGGAATTTAGATCTTCTTAAACTACTCGGTACCTTTGTATGCAAAATAGCATCCATGTGCATTTACTGTGTGTTGAATTAATACACATTTCCAAATACCCACAGCTGAATCATGGAAATAGAATTTATGCTGGTGAGCTAAATGGCTGCAAGGAGCCCGTCAAATTACTGATATGAACACAAACATGGACAGAAGACAGACAGGCCACTACATGTCTAGGATATGAACATTCGTCCACCACATTCAAACCAAATGACAACTGCCACTGACATTTTAAGCAGATGCTTTACAAAACAGGTATCTTGTAAAAAAAAAATGAAACCATACATTTTAGAGTGATTAAATCACTTCACGCTAAAATAAACACAGTAGGTAATGCCTTATACTACAGGGTCAAAAAAGATGATTATGTGGCTATCGTTACGGATGAAAATGTCTGTTTACAGGGTAAAAATTGCGGTGTGCTGTGCCTATCTTTGTCTTTTGGAAACTGTAACCTTGGGCTACATTCACAGCTACAGAAGGAGGTTGGTGAGGAAAAGCAGGACACGCATGATGGAGGAGGGCAGCAAGACGAGTGCAGGACAGCAGCTGGAGGTTGTGTGTGCTGAGATAAAGAGGTTGGATAATGAAGAAACAAAAGTTCAAAACGGATAAGACCTCGCTAGAGCTGACTCCTCATCTCTGATCCGGCCAGATATGAACGCATCCTTTATGGAGATGACTCATCCACACACACGTACATACATTCATACAGATCCAAAGATTGATGAGGGGTAGGCTTTTAAGATCTGCAGCAGCCGACGCCCTTCATCTCCTTGTTTACGTACTCCTGGAGCTTAAACTTCTCAGTGGGATCCTTAATGGACCTGTGCTTCAGCTCCCTGAGAAAAATGAAGAGGATAATGTGAGATGAATGAACTTCAAACACATGACTCACAAATCTTACAAGGAACTCGTAAGCACAATGTTTCTCTGAGGTACTGCTTTAGAGATATAAAACATGGAAACACACAATGTTGTTACTGTATTGTATGTTAAAAGCATCACATTACTTGTTTGACAAAAAAAAAAAAAAATTACAGTCAAGGTCTGCTTACTAACTTTCAGTCTCAACTTTCAATGTGAGGATCAGCTTGAAGGCCTATGACATTTACTATGTGAATCTTGACTTAAGATTTTTTTAGTCAAATATTTCAAACTTCAAAAATGGACGTGAATGCCCAGTAAAGTCACATTTAGTCATTAGAGTAATGTACTATCTTTATATTATTGTATAAAAAATTCATTAAATTAAAATGACAAACCATCAGTAACACTAGCACAGAGAGAACAATACTCACTTGGCCACAGCAGTAAAAGCCAGCTCTACATTGAGGCCTGACCTGGCGCTGGTCTCCATGAAGGGAACTCCAAATTCCTAGAGAGTCAAGGCAATGACAGTAATTCACCCTGACAGCCTCAGCAATACAGGTATGTATGAAAATGGAACACTTTAGACAGGGTTATATGAAAAAAGTTTGTCTGTTGCACGTATACAAGCATACAGCAGAGCTTCATAGCACCGTAGCTGTTTAGTGTAGATACTTCCAGCTCTGAAGTGATAAATTTGCAGTCCTGTTTCCCCTCTGCAGAAATTTGTGCCCGCCAACAGACGATAACAGGTGTTACTTTCTGCTTCTGAGCTGAGTTACTTAGTTAGTGGCACTTTGTTGCGCCTACATCTGCAGAGCTTCTCTTGGCTGTTTACTGTTTGCTTTGTGTCATGAAGCAGTGGTAGTATTTGCAGTCATATTGAAGTTTATCAGAACCAAGGACTACAAAACTGGTAAATACTGACAAGGTGAATAAATGTGCAGCAGCTCATAAAGCGTTTATAGATGATGACAAATAAGGCACTAATCTATTGTGTAAATACTCATTATCAAGTGTTTATTGTCTACAAATACATCCGATTGGTTCACCTTTTTCTGTGTTGTCTTTTTTGCAGGTACTACATTTTCCGCACAGCAGAAACAAAACTGATATAAAGAGCAAGAGTGCAAATGAAAACTGATTTCTAGATAATCACACCTTTCTCATCTTCCATACAAATTCAGTCATATAAAATCCTTGGGAAACTTACATTAAAATTCATTCACAGACAGAAACAGGGATTTTAAAACAACTTTGGATTATATTGCATACAACTTCTAACACAAACGGATCTATAATTTCTCAACTTATCAGTTCATTACCTTAGCAAGTCTCTCACCATCCTCTCTCTTTACCACTCTGTCATGAGTGGCATCAGCCTGGTAAAACAGGAAAAGCATTGTCACATATACCAGCCTTAAGCTCTATCATTAGTTAAAAGCACAACATGCAACCACAAACTGAGACTTCTATACTTTTTGTCCACAGCTCATACATAAGCCTTTATGAATTCTGATGGCATTCTAATGAGTCAAGAATGGCTGATATAGAGTGTGAAGGGACTGAAAGTAGACAGAGCCATCTGTTCTCTGCTCAGATGGAGGAATGTGAATGGCAGTTTTAGAAAAAAAAATCACAAATTCACGAATATTTGAAAATTAGATAGACAAATATTAGTAGATGTGTGTATCATTATTGACACACACACACACACAACAACACAGAGGCCTTGTTTATGAAAATGGTCCAATAGTCATTCTCGACTGCGTGCTTATGTTTGAATCACCAAAGATGCTAAATGGCAGAAATACAGAAGTGTTGCTGACTTTCTGAACCGCAGCAGTTTCTTGGTGTTTTTGCTCTTTTATTCACTCCAGGGTCATTTTCCATTAAAATATAAATCCATGCACCTCTGTGGAAACAGCACAACTATGGCTCATAGCAGACAGACCTCAAAAATGTATTTTGTGCAGTATAGATTTTTTGATTATATATTCTAAAAAAATTGAAAAAACCTGAAATCAACATTTTCCCAAGTGCCCACAGGTATCGCCAATACTGGAAAACATAGGTGGCTCTACAAACAATGGATATTTTACTACTTACATTTTTAATTTGTTTTGATACTTGCTTGGAGGAGAACTTAACATTTCCAAAAGAACTACACTTATTCTTTACATTCAGCTCTGTTTCATCGTTTCCTAACGCACAGCTGCTACATAGAAACTTTGTTAAGTAAAATAGTCAAAGTTTAGCAACATTAGTAAGTAAGCTAAGAATCAGAAAAGCATTTAATTGAAAGTTTCTTTTTTGCTGATGACAAATTTCAGCGCCCTACCTTGTTTCCAAGCAGCATGAGCACCACATCCTGTTGGGCATATTCATGGATCTCAGTCAGCCACGCCTGGTAAACACAGGACAAGGAAGAAAGAGCACATGTAGTTGTTACACAAACAGAAGAACAAAACGAGCAATTTGAGATAAAGGTCAAGATGAAATGTGCCATACACATGTTAGAAAAAGAAAACCTTCTCCGGGACTTGACAAGAAGAAGCCTGAGCATTAAATCTAATAACATGAATAAAGAGGAAGAGGAAAAGGAAAGTGACTGTAGCTTTTAGATGATGCATGTGTGTAAAGGAAGAAAAAAAATCCAGGAAAGAGACAAAGAGAGACAAAAAATAAGGCAAAGGCAACGAGATATTAAAATAAGGGAGAGCAGCAAAGAGGAAGAATGCTGTGAGAGTTACTGTAAAAAAAACTTCATCATCCTAAGTTTAATCAACACTGTGTATGTACACAGGGGACAGATACAGCCTTGCAGCTTCTGAGTGTATGAGCTCCGAGAGCAATTGAACCACCCATTTACTGTTAATGAGTAATTAATTAGCTCAGAAGAACACCTGCAAAATTTCTTGCTGAAATAATATCCATTGTCTCAGCACAATGCCTAATTGGACCCGCAGTGATTTCGTCCACTTTGGGGTTTCTGACTGGCTGGTGATCAATCTGCCTTTTCTTAACCAGCCTTGCTCCAGAGCTGTTGTACCTCTGACAGCTCCTCCGCAATTAATTCTGATGATGACTTGCTGTTCGTAAAGAGATTTCACTGGGGTCACCGCCAACCAGAGGTCATGTTAAGTAACAGGAGATGAGATAGAAAATGCACACTCTGCTGCCTGTGTGTGTCAGCATGTGTCAGCTGGAGCCCTTATTGTGAGCAATCCATGTTTTCTTAGTATCACAACTGTTATACTGATAGATACTGGAATATGATGGACAACTCAAACCTTGCTTTTTTCCTAGAACCACAACTTTCATTGTGTCTTTTGATGTCCCCATCGCAATCTCAGTGACAAATCATTGCAACTCAGTGACACATGGAACTAATTCACTGTTTAAAACCTTCTCCCAGCCTGTCTAAATCTCCTACGATAGTCAAATCCAACCTCTAGAGCTCTGAGCCTTTCCTCAGTCAGCTCCAATCCAACAGAATGATGCAAGCCCTCTGCAGGTTCACATAATTAGCACTGCATGGCCATGCTCACATGCGCAGGTGCACATAAATAAAAGATTTACATGTCACCCAGCTACCATCTCATAAGACTTAATATTGTCTCAAATAGTCTGAATCAAAAGCGTTTCAGCAGAAGTTCTCTGGATAAAATCCAAGCTAAGTCAGTTTATCGCAATAGGGTTTCAAAGAAAAAGGAAACACGATGAACTCGTATATTGTGTCTTTTAATTTCACAGGTTTAAAATGAACTTTGGTAAAGTTTTTAATAATACATAGTTTAAAGCGAGCAACACTGCTGTGATTACACCTGATTTTTTAAAAATCATTTTTACTACATTTAACTAAACTGTGTCTGTTTTGTGAGCAGACTGACTGATTATTTGATACAGTTGCATACAGGAGCTATTTTTACAGAAACTACTCTGTTCACATGTACACCTTTTTTTTTCCTTTAATCCATCCTCTCCTCCACCTTTTATTGCACTGCCATTCAATCACTGCTGCATCACACTGTTGTTTAGATGTGCTTTGTAGTTAATGAGACCACAGAGGTCTGGTGATTTGAGAAACCTGATGGTGGCTCTGAGGCTCTTTAATCAGGCAATGAGCCCAACCTGTGCACAGAGAGGAACACTTTTTAAGGACTGCTCAGAAAAGGTTGGTGCCCTGTGCTATTCTAAAACAAATACATAAAAAACAAGGGTTTGGGTTTGGATTTGCATCATCAGTGCTCTTCAGCATACTGCTGAGAGGGTGAAATATTGCTGATTGCATGCAGCTAATCACTTGCTTCATGCATAATTTAATATTTTGTCAAGGTTTCCCGTCACTTGCATATTGCCTGGCTTGGTCTATTGCCATTGTATGCTTATCCCTAGAAATGACTCACCTTTTAATTCTGTGCATCCTTTAAAAGCTATAAAGTGTTTGTATGGGGTAAGCATATTCAGTACCAAGATACTGGCTTGTACATTTGGCCTTTGGTTATTGTTATCTATCTCCCAGCCCTGCAACCCCGACAACAAGTCCAAGCAAACCTCTGCAGGACACAGTTTGACAGCTTGCCTCTGAGTGATTCTCTCCATATGCTGTGATTACTGTTGATGAACCATGGCTTATAATTAGATCATTTGTCTGTTTTTAGCGCATCCCCTTGTGGGTCATTTCACAGATAGAGTCATTGATTCTAGATGATGATGATGCTTGTCATTTTCATCCTGGAGAACCAACAGTCTCCTTTTGTTTTCATCACAGTAGAGGGAAGGCGCATACACCAACGCAGCAGACAGCAATATGGATCAATGTAACAAATTTGATGTTAGATAATGTCATTTGAATGAGTGACGGAGTAGGTTCTAATGAATACACTTGCTAGGGGAAGCTTTTGGCCATCGATGTTCTTTTGCAGGTTTTCACTTCTCTGCAACTGGAGACGAAAAAAGCTGTCCATCTCATGACAAAATAAAGCATACAGTTTGATACACAGTCTTTGGTAGCAGTGGCAAATCACTTGCAAGGCAGATCAGGAACTGTCAGCATTTTGAGAGACATACTTAAAGGATCATTCAGTCTGAGTAAAAGATAACACTGAAAATGCTGCCAAGAACAGCCGTTTGACTAACTGCATTAGGACCTCCATCTGGGACAACTTATTGGCTAACCTCATCACCAACAAATTCACTGTGCATGCCGATTGATCTACATGTGTAA